ACAACTTCAGTATAGCGGTTAACAACAGGTCTTTCGGAATATTCAAAAAATAACATTTTTACAACTTCAGTAATATCATTAACAAACTCAAAAACTTGTTGTTAACTGTTATATCAAAGTTGTTAATAGATATATAAAAGTTGTTAATCATTATACTGAAATTGTATCAATTTTCAAAAAAAGTAGTTGTTAAAGTTATAAAAAGGGAAAATTGCAAAAAAAGACCTTGGAATTGCAAAAACGCAGATAGGGACCCTTGACAACTTCACTTTGGGTTTTGACAACTTCAGGGCATATTATTCTTGTCAAAACCCAAAGTGAAGTTGTCAAGGGTCCCTATCTGCGTTTTTACAATTCCAAGGTCTTTTTTTGCAATTTCCCCTTATAAAAATGCCATTTTTTCGAATTTTTAAGAAAATTTATTGTTAAATGCTATACTAAAATTGTTAATAGAGTTACAGGACTTGTTAACGACATTATTGAAGTTGTAAAAATGTTACTTTTTGAGATTTTTTGAAAAATTTATTATTAACTACTATACTGAAATTGTTTATAACATTATAAAAATTGTTAACCGTTATACTGAAATTATAAAAATTTTCAAATAAAAATTGTTTCCAGTTGCCATAGCTCTGGCGACCAATTGTTGAATTTTCGTAAAAATCTTTTGTTCATCGCTATACTGAAGTTCTTAATAGCATTACAAAAGTTATTAATCATTATATTGAAGTTGTAAAAATTTTCAAAAACATTATTTCCGACCGTCACAGCTACGGCGACCAATTGTTAAATTTCTCCAAAAACCTATTGTCAACCACTATACTGAAATTGTTAATAACGTTACAAAAGTTTTTAATTGTTATATTGAAATTGTAAAAATTTTTAAAAAATTATTTCCGGACACCAAAACTTGTTGAATTTCTCAAAAAACCTGTTATTAACTACTATACTAAAGTTGTTAATAGTGTTACAAAAGTTGTTAACCATTATACTGAAATTGTAAAAATTTTCAACAAAATTGTTTCCGACCGTCAAAACTCCGACATTCAATTATTGAATTTTTCCAAAAATCTATTGTTAACCGTTATACTAAAATTGTTAATAGTATTACAAAAGTTGTTAACTGTTATACTGAAGTTGTAAGACTTTTCGAAAAATTTATTTTCGGCCATTAGAACTTGTTGAATTTTTCAGGAAATCTATTAACTATTATACTGAAATTATTAATAACGTCACAAAAGTTGTTAACCATTATACTAAAATTGTAAAAATTTTCAAAAAATTTTTTTTCCCACCGACAGAGTTCCAGTGACCAATTGTCTGCCGGTCGTCGGAGCTCCGGTAATTGCCAGAGCTCCATCAACCGGCCAACCAATAGGACTGTGATACTTTAAAAATAATATTTAAAAAGGATAATTTAGCTTTTTTCATTTGATATAATAATGCCAATTTGGTCTCATGTGACCAAAATAAACATTTTGCAAATTTTGCAGATGTTCTGGTCATTTCAGACACAGCAAAGATGATTTCTTGAGAAAAGTTCAATTAAATTTTTCATAAAAAAATACATCTAGATTATTCTAAAATCAATTTTCACTAAACTGGGCTAATAGCATCATAAGCTAACTCAGGAACTCGAATTAAAGTAGCTTGCTTCCCTACAGCCACGATTTGCAAGTTCTAGCACATTGATATCAAAGATCTAGCTCTGCTTGATTATTTATTCCTAGAAGACATGAATTGTCTTTCTTGGATCCCCCCCCCGCGGGGGCCAAAAGGCATGAAAATTTTCTTCAGAACCCCCATCGCTGGAACTCTTCAGCATCCTCCAATTTACCAGGAAACCAATTTGTGGGGAACTAATGAGTTCCAATATTGTAGCCAAAAATCATTCAAAACATTGCATGTAGAAAAATATGCTGCTTTATTCAAAGCTCCTAACTACATAGCTTGTTAGAAGTTTTCATATCATATGACATGTATACATATATAGACAAATAGATAACAATATGATCACAATTGATGAATATTTTTTGATTTATTAAAGAACAGGCACTAACATACTATCAAACTTGCAACTTTTCATTTATAAAAAAGCTTTCCTGCCCAGGCCACAAGATTATTGGCCGCAATTCAAAAATTTTAAGATCCTAATCCAATGCAGTTAAATGCAGATTGAAAGACATAAAATAGCTAATTGCCTCACAGCCTAATCGCATGAAACTTTTTTGTGAGTAGGAGCTCATCGCAAGTTCAATCTCACTTGTAATTACAGATTATTAGTGTCTGACCCTTTAATGCAAAATACAGAAAGACACAACACAAAACCAAACCATAATTCTGCATGTCCAGCCCTGGTTCTACTTTATCAGTCATTTCAACCAGACACATAAAGCATAAAGGAACCATGGCAGCCATTATATATTTTTGTTGCACCATGCTCGTATAATCTAACAGATTAAAGCTTATCAGATTATGAAAATTTGGTGCTTGCACATAATTAGCTTCTTCCATGTGAGATATAGAAGGAATCCAAGAACAGAACCCATGCCCAATAGCCCTCACTTGATAGACTAACATATGAGATCCTACATGACCTCATCCATTTATCAATGAGGAAAAAAATGCCAAACGAGCTGATATGCACAAGCGTATAATAAATCAAAAGCATACATAATACAAAAATTTGAAAATTTTTTTGGGGAAATCCAAAATTTATAACAACCATATCATCTTAAGGAAATATTGAAAACTTAAGAGCTCCTTTTGTCCCTTCCATTACCTTTTCATCAGTGATCAAATAGTGAGAACAAGTTGACTATCTGGCGTATGCAAGGTTTTGTCCCTTTTCATTAGTGATCATCTCTTGTATAGAGAGAAACCTAGCCCTAATTTCCCAGCAGATTGCTTGTCACACACACACACACACACACGCACACGCACACATAAAAGCCGTGTGAAAACACAGCAATTAGTCGTTAGATCAGCAAATGGTAGCAGCAACAGCAGCAAAGCAATCAGAGAACTTTGAAGGCTAATGGATCAAGTATTCCACATCACATTCAGACATAAAAATCCTCATCATTTTGCTTGGCTTTGTGCTGAAACCAAATCATAAGATAAACTCACAAGTGAATCCCGAGAAGAAGAAAAAACCATCTTTCTCTATGAGATTATTCTCTTTCTTACAGAATATAGAGTTCTCAGCTACAAAAGAAACAATAAAAACGAAAAATCACAGAACAACCTTTCAAATGGGACCCCAAACCTCCATGCCAGTGCGTATTCAACTAATTTTATCATGTTAAGCAATCTCCAAGCAGAAGAACAGCATTTCAAACACGCAATTTAAGTTAGTTAGAACTCGGAACAAAGAAGGAATCAAGCGTATTAAGTCGCCCAGTCAGATTCTACATCGAAGTGTTCGCAGAACTCTGAAGAAAAGAAAGAAAGAAAGAAGAAACAATTTCTGCACACAGCATCAAACGATTCTAAAACACTAACAGTAACAGTAACAGTAACAGTAACAGCAATACTTGTTTAACAGCCTTCAGCAAGAAAATCATTGCACATAATATTAATAAGTATTTATGGGAAGACAAAATTTTGAGGTTACTTCAGCATCTTTTGAGCTTGAAGATACGAAAGCTTCCTCGATAGAATTTATAGAAGGGAACTTTCTCTTCACCTCTTAACACAGAATCGCCGCCGCTACTTATCACTTATCAGGGTGTAGGTGACTCATTGCTCCAGGGATCCGAATCAGAGGATCCATTTAACACACGCGATCATTTATTTGGGCCGAAAACATTCTTTTGGAGGCCCATTCAATGAAGATACAATTTCATTAAAAATTAAACTAAAATATAAGCTTGCATGAAAAAATGCTTTGGGCCCACCTTCTATGATCTAGTGCGCGACTGCGCGCCAAGAACGAAGGGGACGCGGAATCTCTGTTCCTCCATTGCTGTTCCAAGTCTTCATCACCGTCGCCAATCGTGGTCCTCTTTGCCGTTGCCCACCGTCGGCCGGGTCGGCATCGTCATCTGAAGAACAGAGGTAAGCTTCCATTCTTCCATACCCACTGATTTCTCATTCTTTAAAAATGCTTGAACGGTCCTGGATGTCACTTGCAACCACACTTTTTTTTTTTTTTTTTAAGAGATACCTGCAACCATACTACTGCCTGTATAATTACCATTAGTTAGTAATCAACGAGGGAATATCTTATAGCCGAATGTGGTTTGGTATAAATTGTAATTGATTCAATTTCCAAAATGGATAATTATTCCCGGAAGCATTTCAGGATGAGACATATATAAAAAAAGAAGGGAAAAAGGAATTGCAGACCTCTTACAAAAAATGTCCCCAGAAGCAATTTAACATTCTTCTTACAATAGCAGACTTCTTGATCGAAAATGCTCTCCCGCGCTTTTTGGAGTAATTTATACCCAGTGCACACAATAGCAGAGCTCTGTTTTTCTGCAAAACGGCGTCAATGCGCTAAGCGGAGGGATACACTGAAATAGATTGCCCAGAGAGGAAACGGCGTCGTTTTAACGAGCGAGGGATGGATTTGACAAAACGGCATTGTTTTAGTATAACTGGCGCGATCGTGGCCGTTCATTTCATGGTGATCATCTTCCCCGTCTTATGTAGGCGAGTTCGGTGCTGCGATGCAGTTCGACGGGTTCCGGTCGGCGATGGAGGTCGGCGTAAGGTGCTCGGCGAGCTTATTCTGATTATCCTTGACGGAAGCTGCTCACTTGCTTTTATATGTGGACTCTGGCGGCGTAAAGATACTGTTAGGAGAAAATTTTAAAGTCTATTCTGGCGCTCAAGAACTGGACTGACGAAGTGTCCGTGTCTACACATGAACTGACTGGTCTTCTTCATGGCGGTGCAGCTAAGTAGAATATCAGACGCGTCCACGGTCACTTTGAAGTTAAAATAAAAATGATGTTTTGGGATTAGAGGTGGTTTGGTTTATCGCGCTTGGATAGTTTATATCAGACTTCATTTCGCAACAGGATTGTTCAAAAGAAATATGTCATCGTCTTCTTCTAACTACTACTGCGCATTGCTGAAACATTGTTGCGAAGTCCGGAACCACATCCAGGCAAAGAAGCTCCATTGCTACATAATCAGAACATTGAGAACCCCGGAAACCTTTCTGTTAAACAATCTCATTAGTACCTATGGTAAGCTCGGCAACAACGTCTACGCGCAGCGAGTGTTTGATCAAATGCCTGAGCCAAATCTCTTCTCATGGAATTCTATCCTTTCGACTTTTTCCAAATCAGGTAAAATTGCTGAGATGGTAGCTGTTTTCAATAGAATGCCAATCCGAGATGTTGTGTCATGGAATTCGCTTATTTCTGGTTATGCTGGCATTTCCATTGTTAATTCAGTGAAGGCTTATAATTTAATGTTAAAGGAAGGATCCAATAATTTAACTCGCATTACCTTCTCTACAATGCTTATACTTGCATCGAGCCATGGGTGTGTTAATTTGGGACGTCAGATTCATGGGCATATTGTGAAGTTTGGTTTTCAGTCCTATGTTTTTGTTGGAAGCCCTTTGGTGGATATGTATTCAAAAACAGGCTTCATTTCTGATGCAAGGCAGGCTTTTGAGGAGATGCCTGAGAAGAATGTGGTTATGTTTAATACTATGCTAACAGGGCTGCTACGATATGGTATGATTGGAGATTCATGGCATTTATTTTATGATATGCGGGAAAAAGATTCTATTTCTTGGACGACAATGATCACAGGCTTCGCCCAAAATGGTTTGAATAAAGAAGCAATTGATTTATTCAGAGAGATGAGATTGGAAAATTTAGGTATGGATCAATACACATTTGGAAGTGTATTGACCGCTTGTGGAGGTCTTCTCGCCTTGCAAGAAGGCAAGCAAGTTCATGCATATATAATTAGAACTGACTATAAGGATAATATATTTGTAGGTAGTGCTCTTGTTGATATGTATTGCAAGTGTAATAGCATAAGATCAGCAGAAACAGTTTTCAAGAAGATGGCCTTTAAGAATGTTGTGTCCTGGACTGCAATGTTGGTGGGTTATGGACAAAATGGTTACAGTGAAGAAGCCGTTAAAGTCTTCTGTGATATGCAAAAAGATGGAGTCAAGCCAGACGATTTCACTCTTGGAAGTGTAATTAGTTCGTGTGCCAACCTTGCAAGCATAGAAGAGGGTGCCCAATTTCATGGCAGAGCTCTGGTTACTGGTCTACTTTCCTTTATTACTGTTTCCAACGCTCTTGTTACATTATATGGAAAGTGTGGAAGCGTTGAAGACTCCCATAGGCTTTTTAATGAAATGAGTGTCAGGGATGCAGTCTCATGGACTGCCCTGGTTTCTGGATATGCCAAATTTGGTAAAGCCAATGAAACAATCAGGTTATTTGAAAGCATGTTAGCCCATGGTTTGAAACCTGATGGAGTTACTTTTATTGGGGTTCTTTCGGCTTGCAGTAGAGCAGGATTAGTAGAGAAAGGTAAACAAATATTCCAATCAATGATTAAAGAATACAGGATTGTCCCAATTCATGATCATTATAGTTGCATGATTGACCTTTACAGTCGAGCTGGGAAGTTAGAGGAAGCTCAAACTTTTGTAAACCAGATGCCTTTCAGTCCTGATGCAATTGGTTGGGCAACCTTATTGAGCTCTTGCAGATTCTATGGGAACATGGAAATTGGAAAATGGGCGGCTGAATCACTTCTGGAGTTGGAGCCACATAATACTGCTAGCTACATCTTGCTTTCAAGCATCTACGCTGCAAAAGGAAAATGGGCAGAAGTTGCCAAACTGAGAAAAGGAATGAGGGACAAGGGACTGAGAAAGGAACAAGGATGTAGCTGGATCAAATATAAGAACAGAGTGCACATTTTCTCTGCTGATGACTGGTCAAATCCATTTTCAAATCAGATATATTCTGAGCTTGAAAAACTGAATTACAAAATGCTGAAGGAGGGATATGTGCCTGATATGAACTCTGTTCTTCATGATGTTGAGGATTCAGAGAAAATTAAGATGCTTAATCACCACAGTGAAAAGCTTGCAATTGCCTTTGGGTTGATATTTATTCCTCCTAATCTTCCCATACGTGTGGTAAAAAATCTGAGGGTTTGTGGGGATTGCCACAATGCCACCAAGTATATATCTAAGATCACCCAGCGGGAAATTCTTGTGAGGGATGCTGCTCGGTTCCACTTGTTTAAAGACGGAACCTGCTCATGTGGAGATTTCTGGTGACAGGCCCGATTCCTACATCTATTTAACCAACGTTGAAAAAAGTTTATTTTGAAAAGCAAAGAAAACTGCAGGAGTCATTGTGAATTGGCCTATGAGGTTAACTTTCAAGATATGAATGAAATTATCATTTCTGTGTCTTTTAAAGCACCAAATTACAGCTAGGTTTCCTGCTATTGATCTAGAGCTTTTAGCCATCTTGATTTGAGAAGGAGGAGACTCAGCAAATGCAGAATGTATGACCTTTTCAGAAGTTATCGGAAGCATGTATTGTAGCAGCCGCTCAGTTTCTGATAATCTAACCATAAAAGCCAAGCGACACATACTTGAGAAGAGTAACTTGGTCAATTCATATTTATTTATTTATTTATGTTGTGGTAAGTCACATTTTTCTCTCGTGTTTGTGAGCTCAGCATGTAAGCACACGCATGGTTAAACTGAGACTTGATAATTGTGCTGTTTCTTGATCAAACTAGAAGAAAACTTGAAACAATATCGCAAATATAGGTAACATTGGTAAGACAAAAGATAAATGAACCAGTAAATACCATGTTTCCTGAATCTGTAGAGTTCTCACCTATTTATAGAAATATAATTTAGTTGTCACCGTACTTGGCATGGACAGTGATACAAAATACTCGGGTGCCTATCATGGTTCATAACGTAGGGCGTAATAATACTTGTTTAGGTGTGCTAACAGTAAGGGGGGCTAAGATGTTTAGGTATCATATGGCTGGCAAAGTTTCTCTGGCGATCTGGTTATAACTCATGAGGTATCCTTCACAGTTTAGTCTGACATCAATTTCTTCAATCAACAAAATTTAGTAAGTTCAAAATTTTAATTTATCCTATTTCTCTGTATAATTTATTGTCTTTTAACTTATAGGTTGTAACCCTTTCCGTTCCCCGGGGCGGGGGACGAAATATGACTTTTTTCTTTAATTTTAACCCTGAAAGATTTCTTTATGATTTTTTTTTTCTAAAAAAAAAAAAAAAAGATAAACTGTTTTCTGAGAGCTTTGCTTAGTTGGAGACAGAACAAGTCATTGTTACTGAAATCTTATCATGCTGGAACATTATGATTGTGCAATATTTTCCCAATAAACTGATTCTTTTTATGCCATTCATGCACATTTATCCGTTTTCCAAGCATAGGGATTGAGCTGAAAATTAAGAACTTGAAGATGAAGTATTTTAGAGCCTTTATAAGTGTCGTGTATAGCTTCTGATAAGCATAAGTGAAAATTTAATGTGAGTGCAATTGTCCAACTCAACTCTCAAAGGCATCGTCTTTAATAGAAAAATCGTGCATTTAATAAATTGTTAGATAAACTTCAGCTGATTCTTTGAGCAGTTCATGATTATCCTTGCAAAATCTGTGTTAATATTTTCATCACATAAGTAAATACTTACTTTCCAGTACAGGGCATATAGCTGATTGAAATATCAGGGCCCTTGGCAGGGAATAGGATGGGTCCAGGGTCCATACCCATTGGGTCATTGCCTTCTAGGGTGTATAGCAGAAAGAGCAAAAAGAATACAAAGAGAAAAATGAAAGGGGATCTGAGGAGAAGTTTATTCTGGACCTGGTAGAGATTCTAAACTCTCAATTGCCAGAAAACTCTTTTATTTCTTTTTTCTCTTTGTTGTTTGCATTTACTCTTCTTTGGCTATTCTACCCTACGTTTCTATTCTCATTCGGATATAATTGTTTCACTGAATACTACACAGATTTTCTTTTGTCCCTCTCTCTCTTTTTTTTTTTAAAAATATTTTTTAGTGACTGAAAATGGGACAAAATCGTTAAATAGAATCAAAGTATACAACCAACAAGTGACATGAAAGCAGCAATAAAACTAACCACCAAAAAATGCAGAGAGGTTTTTATATCTGTTCAATATATACTGCATATGCTATTATTATTTCGTATATGCAAAAAAAAAAAAAGTTGAATTTGCTTCTGCTGAAGAGGAAGTACAAGGAGTGAATGCACGTGCAACATATTGTAAATTTTGTAATTGTAATCCTTTCAAGGTTGCATGGATTCCATTTGACCTCGTTGTTTCTGCATCAGGTTCAGAAGATTTAGTACAAGAGAATCTTAGAAGAGGGGCAACAGTGACATGGTACAAGAGGAAACCAATAACTATTACCTGCAAGTGCAACTGATTACAAATCTCAATGACTTCAGCTAGAGGTGCCCAGTCACCAAAGTTCCTCTCTATAAACTGGTACGCAATGCCTGTTTTTCCACTCCCTACTATAAAGAGTCCGCCCTTTATCTCGCCTTCCCCTTTGAAGTTATTGTCGATTCCTATGGCCTTTGCACGCTTGTAATTGGCCAGTGCTCGGGGATTCAATAAAAATCCTGATATGAACTTGTCCTTGAGCAGTTTTCCCCCACCAAGAGCTTTAAAGAAATCCCTACCTCGATCCAAAAGTACTATACCACCCCAGTATCGGGGCCAGAAATCCTTTACCTGCTCCACAACAATTAATAAGTCAAGTAAAGAAGATTTTATTCCAGCAACAAATGTTTGAAGTCTGCTGATACCTCTGACTCTATGTGCTCGTGGAGAACTGCAAATAGTTTAACCCCAAGGGCATCAAATATTGGTTTTCTTGAAAAGAGCTGGTGTGCCTCAGCTCTACACATGATGCACCTGTTTTCAAGTTTGAGGAGCATAATTAGCAACATAATTCACTTTTGTCAATAGACAGAAACCTACGAAGTGTTCAAAACCTATTCGAATTGATTGAATCGCACCAGTCTAATCTAGTTCAACCAAAATTGATCTCTTAAATGAATTATTTCGGATGGAAGATTTGTAGAACCGAGAGGTTTGATTTGAGAAAATTGATGACAACTAAACCAATCAGGTAACCTCTTTTTTATTGTTGTTGTCATCATCGTTGTCGTAGCCTTTAAATGATTATATATGTATTGCCTATCAAAAAGCATATATCCAAATCCTAAAATGCAAAACATATCAAATCATCAAAATCAATGACAAGTAAAAAATTGCTTAATATGTGAGATATGGCTTGTATGTCTTTCTAATATGCATAAAATACTTAAGACAGTAAATCTAACTGAATAGATTAGAATCAAGATATATACAAGACAATGACAATAAAACGTGCCTCAAGAGCTACTTATTTTCTTGCATTTCTTAACAATAAAATTGTGTGATTTTACCTCATTATCTTCCATCTCATGAATTCAAGATTGGTTAGTAATCGATTCATATTATTGACTTTGTAACTTGTGACTAATTGTTAAATTTTGAATGATGAAACATACGATTTTGACCACTATTATATATACCGTAATTGAATTGTAAGAGTGGATCATTCATGTTTTAGTCTACTGCTATAGTTGTCAAATTTACCCTGGTCGTCGGAGACAGAGGATGACAGCTGGTTTATCTCGCCACAGTTCTGAAGCCTTCATTGGAGGTGTTTTTGTTTTCACTAATGGTTCCATTCCAATCTTATACTCTGGAGTTAGTCTCTGCACTGATATATTTCCAATAGCCGCATATGGAGCTACTTGGTCAGTGACAACAGGAGCTTGCACACAGCCACATACTCTAGGCTCAGCTGGCCCTGCAGCCACAATCCCTTTAAAGACGTGTCCATCTTTAATCTTTAGTTCAGCCAGTGATTGCTCAAGTGATTTATCAGAAGGTGTATTACTCCTTAGATAATATCTTTTCATGCTACTGGAGTTGTAAGATGCTTGACTCTTGGTGATACTATCATCTCTGTAAAGTATGCTGGCTCTTTTCCTGGTAGGAATTGCACGCAGTTTAAAAGAATCATCACATCTAGTTCTGTCAACAAAACGGGCAATATGGCCTCGTTTCATGTCAAACTGGGCTGAAAGATCCATGGAGCTTAAGTTAACGAGTTCAAGAAGATATTTTCCGGATGTCTCCATCTTCTCCGCATATTGCATCAGCCCACGATCATGTAGGTATGACCTCAATCCAAGTGCATCCTGTACGTAAGTATATAAACAAGGTTTTGTCTCAGTTTATATGAAAGTACTTCTAAGAAGCTAATTGTAAACTTCACTGTGATAAAATCTTTGTTAGTTATATTTAGGTTTCTGTGGAGGATGATGATGAAATTTGACAAGGGAAACTGACCTTTTGCTGTTGTGTCATGTGCATCTCATTCATATCCTCTGCGTTCATCATCTTCATTGTTGGCACGTCATCCCAGCCTTCTTCCAGTAACTTTGGAAGCAACTCCTTCAAAACTCCATTTCCTATGAAATCCTCCACTGAGAAAGAGGCCATTCCTTTCTTCCCCTGATTGATTGATGTTTGATGTCCTTCTCATGAATGTGTCTAAAAGGGAAAGATTCGTTGATGTTAGCTTATGCTATCATGAATATATAGGTCCTTCTCAAATCCAATAGCTATGCATTTGACCTGGCTTCAGGTGGCAGACGTGATTTATATGATCTGCTTTTGTAGAAATAGATAATAAATTCCACGTAAGAAAAGGCAAACCAATTCACTCAGCTTAGTATTTTCCTAATCTTCTATTGTATGTTCCCTATCAAGGTTGCCAATATCCCATTGGCATATGGAGGATTTTTTTAATTCTAAAAGACATGTAAAAATGTAATGCTGAATTAGACAGAGTGTGTTGATCAATGAAATGAAAGAGTCTAGTGACTAGAAGTAAAAAAACAAAGTTTGAGAAAAGAACAATGCATCGTTTAAAAACATTTGGCAGTTTGTACTAGTGGAGGTCCGGCAATGGAAATACTACTTGCCCTCTTGTTTAATGAAGGGGGAAAGCATGGATTTTTTATATTTCTTTTGGCGGAATCAGTTATGTATTCGACAAATTAAGTAGCCTTAACACTCACAAACATCAGAGTAGTTTTCTTTTGCCGGCTAAAATCTGCTTCGAGCTCCCTAGAAATTGCCACTTGTCTATGTTACTTTGACTTGGCAAAAGAATATAATTGTGTACGAGATTTTTAAATTATATGGTCATGTTACATTCATTTATTCTGAAATCTGCATAGCATACGCTCACTTCTGTGGCCACTGGGAATTTGGACCGAGTTTGGCTACGCTTTCATGCTTAAATTTTATTCACCTCGTATGCATTAATAAAGTTAGCTAAAATTAGCTTTTTTTTATTAAATATGTTCCAAATTGTTTTTTTTTTAATTCAACTTTGCCCTTAATAATGAACGCTTCTCTTTCTTTGCTTATTAATTTCTGAAATAAGTATTTAGTGATAAGCAAAAATATTTGGAAGAAAAAAAGAAATTAACATCATAAAGTTGACGTTTTTTTTCCCTCCCCAACAATCATAAAAGGTGACTAGCATTTAAGAAAGACAGACTAAAAAAAATGGCTTACTTTTGGAACTAGAAGTGGTATTTTACAAGTTTCTAATCGGGAAAAGAGATTAAATACCATATTTTACAATATTTGATCGGTGAATCCCATTCGTCATTACATACTTACATGTGGTTTAATGAATAACATTTTCATTTTTTTAAATGTACACCAAAGATATTCCTGTGCTGATAACTAAGGACTAATTCCCTTTGAGGCATAGAGATTATTAAGTACGGCTTACCGCTCTCAACAAGATCTTTTTCATATACATGGTCATGAATATCGAGTTGTTCTTGCTTTTATTCTCCACGTTTGCACCTTGAAAATCCAAATCCAAGTTTAATGCATTCCCAATAATAGTTGTCCTGAATTCCAGTAAAATAGACCAAGTCTAGTCCCACGAAGACAAGGAATGACTTAACATGAAGGAAGATAAATGAGATATTGCGACAATGTATTTCACAACTTTCTTCATGCTTTCCTTTTTGATCTTCTTCCCTCCCCATCGCTACACTGTTTTCGAGCAACATGGGGGTTCCACTATAGAAAGAAAATAACGGTCAGATTGGGGCATTCAACCGTACTGAAATGTCTCTGATGCCTTCAAGCTGATTTGCAAAACTCGGAGTTACGCACCAGATCTCGGAGAAGAAGACAATAACAAAGAAAGTGAAGATAGAGATGAGGATGAAGATGAAGATGAGGTGTACCGGTTAGGAATTGAGAAGTAGATGCAACGAGTCAGAAAAAAGAGAAACGCCCATGGACGTTTGTTATGTGGGACCTACACATGGTTTATGCTAGGCGAGTTTTGTATTTTATGAAATATAGAATCTATTGTCATGATACACGCTTGTGCAAAAATCATGCGTCCAAGGTTAAAAAAAGTTGTTTTGTGTGAGCACTGAACCTCTCAAATTTGGAATATAAAATTGATATATTTGACTACTTCAGAAAGCACAATACCCGTAAATAAATATCACATAACAAAGAGCAGTTAGATAATAAAGAAGTAATAAAAACGAACGTTCAGATAACAAATACAAAAGAGCAATAAATATTACCTATCTCAATATCTGTGTGGGGAAAAAGTATCTCTCTACTTTAACCACAGAGGGCAAACTACTTTTGACCAAACCGCAATGGGTAAATTGTAATTTACCCAAATGTGATTTCACTATAATCCTAAGTTTTGATGATTTTCTGCTTTAAAAACTCAAGCAATTGTTCTAGTTCCATCATCACTAAGGGTAGAAGCAAAACACCTCTTGGGCAGTCCTTCCCAAATGGGGACTACAATTGGCTTCTCTTCTCACACGCTGGAGTATCTCAAAAATGGCCACCAAAGCACTTGAAGCGCAGCTCGAAAAACATCCCAGCTATGTATGTTTTCGGTGATTCTCTCTTCGAAAATGGGAATAGCTACTATCTTGGGGTTCCCACAAATTAAGCATGTTTTCTTCCTTATGGTATTTTGGTGGCAAACCTGCCGGCCGATGCACAAATGGCAAAACAGTGGTTGATTACCTTGGTAAGACACCCCTACAGCTTCACTGTTTTCCAATATCTTCGCATTCTCTGATCCAGCCAAGGATAGTTCATTCTGATGCAAAATTTTGCATATGCCCACAAGGTAACCGTGCTTCATATGTTATGCAGCTATACTTCTTGGGCTACCATTCCCCCTTGCCTACCTAGGTCTTTCAAAGCATCAAAGAAGCAAAATCACTACGGGGATTACTTACGCATCTGCTGGCTCTGGAATTCAACAAGAAACCAACAATGTAAAAGTCTTACTCTCACCTCTTTTCACTAATTCATCACCAGCACTGTTTTATGTTTGTTTTAGTTCTTGCTTTTAGCCTAGTATTTTATATTCTTTATCTGCAGGAGACAAGTTTGACATTACCCATCCAACAAAAGCTCTTTAAGAGAACTGTTCAAAATGACTTACCAAAGATGTTCAAGGAGCAAGCAGCGTTGGAGAGGCATCTATCCGAATCCTTGTTTGCTGTCAATGCAGGGGTCCATGACTACGACCAGATTAAAAACAAAATCTTGCCTTCTCCTAGCTCATTTGCTCTGTTCCTGTTAAAAGAATTTTGCAGACACCTGCAGGTAATATTTGTTAATCTTCAAGTTAATAATACAGAATTTCTGGAGTGAAATAACACTTTTACCCCCTTTTCTCTTCCTTTTGGCCTTAGCACTTTAGTTAATGAACGTGTCTTGTTCCCATGTGCAGAACTCCAAAGTTACATGTTAATGGTGGGGAAAAAACATGTTTGTAAATTTTGTCAAGATCAATGATATCAGTTCTTAAAAAGTTTCGCATCACCACAAATGACACAAATTTCTCTTTGCCAGATTATGACAATCCTCCTTATTCTTCGCATGTTCCTCTGCCTGGTAAATATATCCGTGGTTCAAAACCAATATCTCAATTATTCATGATGCATGAACATAAGAGGAAAACTTTTTATCTTTTTTTTTTCCCCTGAATAATGGCAGGAACTGCACATATTTGGAGCACGGAAGTTTTTGGTGACCAATTTTCCCCCAGCAGGGTGCTTTCCATCAATTGCTGCCCGCATGACACCAAAAGGAAATTGCAATGAAACAATGAATAGGAGGATTAATTCTTACAATAAGAGGCTCCCAGGAGTGCCATGATAGTTGCAGTCTCGGCTTCCTTGCCTTATCTTTGTACATTCAGATATCAATATGTTCCTCATAGAGATGAGGACCACTGCACACAAATATGGTACATAGAAAGCCAAATGCATCAGGCAGTAACTCATAAAATTGTGATAGCATAATTGACCAATGATTTGATGAATAACTGCTTGCCTTTGCAGGGATATTGGATACATGGAAGCCTTGCGGCCCTAATAGGATTGATGGTGATCTCAGGTGCCATCGCAACACTATTCCCTGTGGAAACAGAAACACTCACCTTTACTTTGATGATCACCCAAATCAAATCATAAATGACATATATGTAAGACGCTGCTTCAATGAGACAACAATTTGCAGGCCTTGAGTCTCAATCACCCTGTGCATGCCTAGCAGCCAGTGACATTGATGCAATCTTTTGATCAGTTGAATTCTGCTGAGATATTGAGAATCTTGTAAATTAAGAGTAACATGCTACGAGGTATAATGCACCTAAGTTATAGGTGTCTTCGTATGGTTATCACGTTGGAATAAATAAAGTCTGCGGGATAATCTAAGTAATCAATGAATTGACCATAATAAACAGAGCAGCATATAATATTATATATATATTTTATTATATGAAGAAAGAAGTTCTGATTGAAACCAAACGAATTTAGATATTAGGATAGATCAGGAAATTACAAACAAGAGCCACATTTCCTAGTTTGGTAATACGGAATATGGAGGAATGGGTGAATATGTCTAGCCTATATTTCACAGATACCAATGTCACCAAAAAATGAAGTGAAATTTTGAATAAATGGTGATCAAATCCTAAATTACACAATTGTCTGAAGAAAAATACCAACAAGAGATCATAATATCAACCTTTTGGGAGCGAATTGAAACAAAAATTTACTAGAAAACAAAATAGTGAAAATTAGAATTGGAAACTACATCAGGGCAATCAAATCACCTGTAATTAATTGAGCCAGTTTTCCTGACTATATATTGAACAAGATAAATATTGTCCGTCAGTGCCACTTAAATTTCAGAAATGGAGATTCATACTCTAATATCTGTGGTATTTACAATTTACAATTATTAGTATTATTAATCGTGTTGAAACTAAAAATTTCCTCACCAGCAGGAAATCTGATTAAACTTCACCAAGTTTGCCAAGTCAACAAGGGCTAAAGGTAGAGATGGACCTCATACTTTCATTTCCAAGTAGATCCAATTAGAGAGCCAGATGGAATGCAGTGAGCCATTTCGTTGGCTATTCAGAAAGTAAACCAGTTTTAATCATTCCAGCAAGTAGTTCGGAAGCTGAACCGTGAACACCACTTTCAGAAAATGCATTTAGCATCATCTTGCAAAGTTCTTCATCAGGAGAAATATCATTAGATAACATCATGGAAAAGAAATACTTTGCTTCAGAAATAAAACGTCTTTTGCACAATCTATTGATTACAGCACTGTAATCACTGATTGAAATTTGAAATCCCTTTTGAATCATTTTATGGAAGAACAGAACAGCCCTGTGGACATCACCTTTCGCACAATGTGCTTTTATCATTGCAGTGTAAGCAACTTTGGACAAACAGACATTCTGATCTTCAAGAGCAATTAGCAGTCTATCAGCATATTCTAGGCCACCATTAATGCAAAGGCCATTGATCAAAACATTATACGTTGCAGGAGTAGGCTCCAGTTTCAGCCTTAACATCTCATTGAACAATTCGAAGGCTTTTTCCATGTTGTGACCCTTACAGAAATACTGGATGACAGTATTATATGTAATTTGATCTGGATGTAAACCCTTAGAGTGCATATCATTAAGCACTTGGAGGGAATCACTCAGCCTGCAATTTTTGCAAAGAGATTTGATAATTACAGTATAAGTAATGTGAGTTGGAATTACATTATTTGCTTCCATCTCTTGTAGTAATTCAATCACGCCCTGCATATATCCAGCTTCACACAATGCATTCATAAGAGTGGTGTAAGTTATGGCATTTGGCAATAGGCCATAACGCCTAATGTGTTGAAACAATTTTCTAGCCTCCCTTAAGTTCTTTTTCTTGCAGAATCCATAAATCATGGAGTTGAAAGTAACAATAGTAGGAGCAATTCCTTTCTCAATAACTCTTTTATACAACTGTGAAGCTTCCTCAATATTGCCAAACTTTACATATCTGTCAATCATAATATTATAAAAAACTATATTCTGTGGTTCATTGCTCGTCAGATCTTCAAAATACTTTCTAGCCTCCATTGTTATTCCATTTTCGCACATAGATACCAGAAAAGAACTGTGAATGAAGGAATTTGGGAAGAATCTGTTAGAACAGATTTCCCTATAAAACTTTAAAGCACTCTGGACTTCTCCTAGCTTGCAAAGCCCATGAATCAGAATAGAATATGTTATGAGATCTGGTTTCAGGCCTGAAGTTTCCATGTCATAGAACAATCTTAGTGCTTCCCCGACACGTCCATATTTGCACAAACTACTAAGTAATACACAGTATGGAATGAGACTCAACTGAAATCCAAGAGAAACCATCTCCTCCAGCAACTTCATACCTTCATCAATATTGCCCATCTGGCAATGCCCACAAATTAATATTGTATACGTAACAACATTAGGATTTAATCCAACCAACAACATGTCCTGAATGAGCTGCCAAACCCCATCTATTAAGCCAAGTAAGAGAAACCCTTTGACAAGAATGTTGTAGGTTACTATATCAGGCTTTATCCCCTGATTTTTCATGTGGTCTATAAAATTTAGAGCTTCCTCTATGGAACCAGCTATACACAAACCATGAATTAAAATATTGTAACTATATGCATCAGGAAACAGACCTTGCTTAAGCATCATACAGAACAAAGATTTTGCTACATCTACAAAACCCAATTTACAAAATCTTGACATCATTGTATTGAAGGAAACAACAGAAAGGCCAAGTCCATTTGCCTTAGAATTCCTCAAAAATAGAATGGCATCCTGTAGCCTAGCCTGCTCACATAGGCCACCTATGAGTATAGAGCTAGTATACTCGTTTTCAGAAGCCCCATTGTGCCTCATTTTATTGTAGATATCCCAAAACATTTCAGTTTGTTTTAAGTTATGCAACAAGCTATTATAGGTAGGTGTAGAAGCCGGAAAATTTAAGTCTTTCATATATGCCAGAACAAGCAAGGCATCATTAACCATCTCATATCTTGAATAAGCAAAAGCCAATGCATCCCATACCACACTATTTGAGTCCCAGCCCCTGAAACTGCTCACGAGCAGCTCACAAAGTAAGGGAGCAGAACCAGAACCTATAAGAAATCGTATAAATTAAAAAGATTTTTATAAAAAAATGAACCAAAAAAAAGAAAAAAGAAAGGAAATATTAATTAAAAGCAATATGCATAATAATAAGGACAGAAGAAATTATCTATAACATTTTCTAACCAGATAATATATTACATTAATCTTGAAAATGAAGTTATCGAATTTATATAATTGATATGGATTTCAGTTTAAAAACTGATTTATGGAGAGCAACAATCTGCATATAGCTCCTCAACCCTACAAGATCGTTTTGAAGACTTTAACAATAAATTTTCTCTCTTTAAGTGACAGATTTGAATCAGTTTCTGTCTATTACTTAACCACCTCTCCCTTTAATGTTGCTGGTTGATTAGGTTCCTCGGGTCTTTAACAATAGGATTCTTTTCATATCTAGACCTCCCCTCCGCAACCCTACTGAGTTGAATCCGTTACAGCACAGTGATTCGTCAAATCTGTTGCACCAACTTGTTGCAAGACAATAAGTGCAGAGCAGAGTGAGTAGAGAACGCCCATGCAATGAGTAGTTTCTAGCAGAGTCATCTTTAAAGTCGGTAAGAAAATTGTCAGGGATTTCGGGTTTAGTTGAGGTGAGTGATTTAAGAGTACCATTAAACCAGTTACACTGTGTATCTATTGTCTTTGATCGTAAATGTAGACAAAAGGATCGACCAGTTTGCGTCATGAGTTAAATTTATCAGCCACTTTAACTATTTCCAGCCAATCTGCAAAACCATATAGTGCCAAAGTATTTGGGATGAAATTTGGGTACTGGTTCTGTGGGCCAATTTTCATGTGGGTGGAAGGAGTAAACCGCATTTCACTAAACCAAGGTGCAAAATAGCCTATGCTTGAGGACACACGTTATCATTGTTAGATAGTTAGTTCGCCGCCGTGAACAACTAGTTTCTCAGTTACCTATTCGAGCTTGGATAAATACCACTAAACTGCAACCATTAGACCAGTAATTAAATTTGGAACAGATTTTTCTTTCTCTCACTCACTCTAAGTTCTCTCAACCTGCTCCCAAGTTTATCATACCTGAAACACAAATAAGTGATTTCCAAAGTAAAGCATGCAGTCGTACCTTCCCGTGCAAGCATTTGCTTTATGACCAATTGCAGGTCCCCATACCGCCTTTGACTTGCTAAAACATGCGCAACAACAAACTGGGAATCCCTGGAGTGTCGAAACCCATAGTCATTCCTCAAGGCATAAAAGAAGAACAACGCAGCATCTGAATTCTCTCTCCTCAGAAAATCGATAATTTGATCCACCTGCGGCTGATTCAACTTCCAAAATACGGAACGGAAATATTCACCGGCAAGGAAATTTCTCAAGCCAAAATTCCTCAAACCCGTGAGAACTTCACGAACTGGGTCAACCGCGCTAGGATCGATAGAGGAAGAACTGACAGGCTCATTTTCAACCTTCGCAGCAGAGACTGAGTGTTTATTGAAAATGAAGATTGTGAACGGACAAAGGCATGCAAATTTTCGTGGAAAATGGTGGGGTTTCCATTTGTGGACGCGCCTGAGCATGGAAGAACAGCTAGGGTACAAGAGTGGGACTCCCCTATATTTCAAGAAAATGAGGAGAAAAGGAAAAAGGGATCATTAGGTGTGAGGTTTGGAGCGCAAGTTCTTACCTTTTCTCTGCCCAGGCAAGGTGGTGGGAGTGATGGTTGAATCAAGCAGAAGGATTTCTGAACCGTTGGCTTTCCGGCGCGGGATCTCTCCATTGAGCCTCTATTTACATTTACATAAGAGGCAGCGTTTAACTTTTTTTTTTTAAAAAAAAATATTAATAAAACATGGGCTGACTTAAGGAAAATTTCTGCGCCGCCGACTCTATTATTTGATGGGAACAGCAACTATAATGATAATACAAGGCTAACTGCATAAAAATTTTCTTGAATTTACAAGAATAATTAAACGGTGATTTACGGGAACAAACAAACAAGGTTAGAGAAAATTTTTTTCAGATGTTCTTATTTATGTTTTTCCTCTTCAATGTTAAAATTTGTCTTCGATAATCTGCAAATTCTCCTATTTAAAATTGTTGAATTGTTCGTGAATTCATGGATGCCTAAAAGGAATTTCATTCAAGTCATGCTTTTATATTTCTTTTATTTTTCATTCAAACATTGATTTTTATAGTGATCTACATTGATGTTTTTTCTTTTTCTTTTTTTTGTTTTGTGTTTCTTTTTTCAGCTTATCTTTAGGTTTCAAGTAATGGATACCAATATGGTTCCCACACTTGGTCTTGAATTTAATAATATAGAAGAGGCATGGCAACATTGGGTTAGCTATGGGAGAAGAATGGGATTTGGTGTTAGAAAAGAAAACTCTAATAAGAGCAGAAAAGATGGTTCTATCACATAATATAGATATGTTTGTCATAAGGAAAGAGTGAGAAAACTAGATGAAAGAGATTTCAAAACTAAGAAGCCTCGGCAGGAGACAAGAACAGGAAGTGAAGTCAGAATGATAGTAAATGGAAGATATAAAATTACTAAACTATTTTTGGACCATAATCATTCTCTAGAGCCTCATGAAACTGTTCATATGCTGGCATCACAAAAGAATTTACCAAAAGCATAAGGCTGTGCTTTGGAGATTGCTGAAGATGTTGGGATTAAGCAAAAGAAATTGTTTAATTTAATGAGTAAATATGCAGGAAGAAGGGTTAATTTGGGCTATACTAAGGATGATGTAAAAAGTTATTTAACATCAATGAGAAAACAAAGAATGGTCTATGGTGAAGCTGGATGTCTATTTCGTTATTTCTAGCGGCAACTAACAGAAAATCCTTCATTCTTTCATGCTTATCAAATGGATTCAGAAGAAAAAATAACTAATGTGTTTTGGGCTAACACACGTATGTTGATAGATTATGCTTGTTTTGGAGATGTTATTTTATTTGATACAACATACTCTACAAATCGTGAAAATAAACCACTTGCTATTTTCTCAGGTTTTAACCATTATAGAGAAACAGTGATATTTGGTGCTGTTTTATTATACGATGAGACCATTCAGTCTTTTGAATGGCTTTTTGAAACTTAACGCATAAGAAGAAAATGCCATTTACTATATTTACTAACCAAGATGTCGTAATGGCACGAGCCTTGGAAGAAGTGATGCCATATGTAAAGCATGGCTTGTGCACACTCCATATTAATAGAAACGCGATGAAACATCTTAGAAATTTAATAAAAGGTGACTCTCATTTTTTGGGTAAATTTAGTTGGTGCATGTGTCATTGTGATGAAGTAAGAGTATTTGAGAAAGCATGGAAAGCATTATTATCAAATTTTAATATAGTAGATAATCCATGGTTGATGTCTATTTACGAGTTAAAAGAAAAGTGGGCAGCATGTTATATGAAGGACTCAAAGACTCTTGGTATTAGAAGCACACAACTTAGTGAAAGTATTAATTCATTCATTAAAAGTTGCACAAATCCTAAATGGGATATCAATCAATTCCTTGAAGCCTTTGAACAAGCTATTGTGGATGAACGGTATAATGAATTGAAGAGTGATTTTAACTCACGTCAAAAATTGCAAAGGTTGATTTTGAAGAGTTCAACTATGCTTCAACAACTTTTTCAAGTTTATACTCCTCCACTTTGTGACTTGATCCAGTAGGAGTATGATTTGCGTGATGCTACTTGTATAAAAGAGAGACAAGAAAGAAAGATAAAAGAAGATGATGATGATGCTATTGTATTGATTATGTCATCACAAGGATTGATAAGAAGGGAGAGTGGACATTGACATTTGAACCACCAAGGGAAGAGAAGGAGGCTACCATAACTTGTAGTTGTAAGAAGTTTGAATAATGGGGAATATTATGTTATCATACACTGAGGATATTATACGACCATGATATCAAGCTACTTCCACATAAGTATATTTCAAAGAGGTGGACAAGAGAAGCAAAGTGTGGTGTGGTGTATGATAACAAGGGAAAAGAAATTGAGGTTGATCCTAAATTAGAATGCTCAAATCGATATAAGCAATTGTGTCCAATGTTGATAAAATTAGCAAGTGATGCATTTGAGTGTCCAAAAACATTCTCTATGGTTCATCAAGTAGTACTAGAACTTAGTAATAAAGTGTCTGTGCTTCTTATTAGACACTCATCAAATGGTGTTACCAATGAAGGTGATGTTGATAATGATGATGGTAAGAAGATGGTCAAGGCATTGGATTCAAAAATAGAGAATGCCAAAAAAAATTGATAAAAGTTGAGTTGACAGGCCTAATTTGAAAAGAAAAAAAGTTAAAAATTCGAAAAAGTTTAGTAATAAGTCTTCGCAATCTTGAAAGGTAAAAATTTTTTACATTGATTTTTTTCCTAAGTAAATAGCAATATATCACCATGTTTCTTTAATGAGATTTTTTTAATATTGTTGTAGGAGACTCAAAATACATTGGAAATAGCTAGCTCGTCAACTCTAGTACAACATGACAAACCTACCTCATTGTCAATACAATATGGTCCTGTTATGTCATGTACAACAGTGCCCATGCAATATAACCCCCCATATCAAATATACCAGCTCAAATCCAACGTGGCTCTGGTATGTCATGTGCACTATTGCTAATGCAATACGGTCCTCCTATTTCAAATACACCAATTCCAATGTAATATGGCACCTCTGTGTCAAACAGTCTACCACCGATGCAATAGGGTCCCTCAATGTCGAATACACCAATGCCAATGCAACATGGTCCATTGATCTCAAATACACATGAACTAGGTCAAATGCCATCCACAACATTAATGATGCTGAGTCTACTATATTTCAAGTCCTTGAGTGGTTTATTTCAAACATATTATGATGTTTTCATTTTATTTTTTGCTTTTGTAGAGTCCACTAGATTATACTGTAAAGTCACTTAAAGCATTAGAATTTAGTCAAGCATTTAACAAAGGTAAATCATATCTCCACATAAAAATATATTGAAAAGATTGAGACAATTTTTTCCAAATAATTTTTTTATTACAATAGAATTACACTACATTGTTTGCTTATAGACTATATTACATGTGCAGGTTCACAAATGAACTTAAATCCTCCTAGATGAAGTCACCCAACTCAGCTCTTCTTGCTCACGCCAGTGCTACAATTCATCTCTTTCTTTGGTGCTTCCTTTTGCTTCCTTATTTGGGTTTAGAGTTAATAGTTTTTTAATACTTTTTTTTTTCGTGATGGCAATTTTTTAATAAAAATTATGCATTTTATTAAAGCATTGAGCAGAGTAATATTGGTTAAAAAAAAGAAACAATTGGAGATAAATCCCTCATTACAAATTTAATTAGCAAATGATCTCTGGGATGATTGATTGTGCAAGAAAAGATTAGTTGCACATAAAAGAAGGTGAGTTATATAAAGAGAATATGAAATATTATTTAAATATAAGGGATTAGTTTGTATATAGGAAAGATGACTTGCACAAAAGAGAATTTTATTTGCACAAAAGAAAATTGAATTGCACATTGCATAATGAAAGATTATTACACATAAGAGAAGATAACTTGCACACAAAAGAAATTAAGTTGCACAAAGCCCTTAGATCCCATTTACCAATTAAATTTTTAATAAGAGATTTATTGCCAATTTTCTTTTAAAAAAAAGTGGTGTAATAGTTCATTATTTTCTTAATACCGCTTTTTATTTTTTTCCCCCTGAAAATAGCGTTTAAATAATGTGCTATGTATCATGGTTTGTCTCTTTGATTCAAGGCTTGATTTCAGAAGACAGCGTTTAAATGCAATAGTTTAATATTTTTTTAAAAAAAAAGATGTTAAAAGCTACATTTTATGTAAATGGAGGCTCAATAGAGAGACTTGTCAATGGAGAGATCCCATGCCGTTGGCTTTCATGGCCATTTTGACCGCCGACAGCACATAAATTACCCTAAACCGGTATAATTTAAAACATTGTTTATACAGGAAAAAGAAAATATTGCTCAGGAAAGAGGGACAATTGCAATAAAATCCTACCTAAGAGAATTAGATATAAAAAGGTTCTTTAAAATTATCAAATTATTCTGAAGTCCTAAGAGACTTCATTGCAAGAGATTTTATTTGTTTAATTGCCAAATTATCCTTTTTTTTTAAGTATGCATTGACAATTGAAAGAATAGTCATTAACAACTTAAGGTGTAATGATTAATGACTATCGTGACAAGTATTAACAATACATTTTCTCAACGCATTACAAAAATGTAATATATGAGTTGTCAGTATCTGCTATGATAGTTACTAATTGCTACACCTTAAGTTGTTAATGACTGCACTTTCAGTTATCAATGCATACTTTAAAGAAAAGATAAGGGCAATTTAGTAATTAAACAAATAAAATTTCTTGCAATGACATCCCTTAAGACTTTAGATTAATTTAATGATTTTAAGGAACCTTTTATATTTAATTTTTTTAGATGGGACTTGAAACATCTTTCTTTTAACCTCTTAGAGTACATGTTTAGAAGCATTACAGTTCAAGCGGATCATGAAAGAAGCCTGTAGGTTGGAAATTCACAATTGGTTCTTAGGTGACTATTCATTGTTTAAATTCCAGATTCTTGGTTCAACTTTGAAAAATCATATTTAATTCTAGACAAATCGTATTAAAGTGCTTCAAAATATGAAACTCGACTTATCCTTGCCCAATTCATACAGTTTATCATTAAACTTTACTATTCATTTGGTCCAAACTGTACATTCTAGTTTCTCTGCTCTAAATTTGATTAAGCATAACTCTTAATACACACATCCATTTTAGGTGATCTACCAGTTGTTTTAAAGCTCAGGATGTGCATAATATGTCTGACAAATTTCATAGCTTAACTCATTCATTTGATAGGTCAAACTGGAGCTGAAAACTGACTGCTCCAGGACCTACGTTTTATCCATTAAACAATTCTCGCTTTAATTCTTTTTATTACTTTGACATACATAGCTTGGCCCTATCCTTTCCCATTTATTCTTATACATTTCCATTCATGCCATAAATATTCTAAACAAATACATTGCATCATTGGCATTCATATATATAATTTACATAATAGAAGAATTATACATTAACCAGTAGCTTTATTCATTAACATGAATAATTCTCCACTTTCTTCTCCTTCCTTCTCATGCTCTCTTTCATGCAGTCATTGTTCATCATACTTGACCTAAATGGTTGGTTAAGGAGGGGTGAGATTCGGAAGAATCTCAGTAGCAAAAAATAACCACCTAAATATACATGGCAAGTTTGGCATTCATAATATGCTTATAACTTAACATCTTTATAATATAATGACATGTTTGGAAATCATCATACATTTATCATAAAACACATAGGCCTATAGCATATTTTAAACATATTCACAATTACAATACATGAATTCATAAAATCATATAAACATAGAAACATGTCATACATGTAAACAAATACCAAGAACATAAAAATGGGGTAAAGTTTGCTACCTTGTGTCTTTAAACTTTTTCTTTACCTCCCCTTGCTCCCTTTGCTACCAACCATTAAGGTTGCATACTCCCCTAGGGTTTCAAACTCTCAAAAATTATTAAAATACATAACTAAACTCAATAACAACAAGGGTAGTGAAAACTACATCAAAAACCATGAATATACCTTGTTTTAAAGCTTGATCTTGCATGGGACCACTTGGTCTTTCTCTCTCCTTCTTCTTTCTCTCTCTAAAATTCATTTTCCAAGAGCTTCTTCATGGTTTCCATGAGCTTGGACGAAATGAGGGGTGTGGAGGGAGTATTTATAGAAAACAAGATTGAATCTTGACCATTGATCATAAAAATATGTAGCTTAATCTTGATCATCCATTTTTCCTTTTCATCCTGTGATGACAAGTATCGTATGACATCATGCTCACATCATCTTGATGATATCATGCTTACATCATTAAGCCACATGTCTTCAATCCAACCGTACACGTGTCCTTTTACTAGAAATTTCTAACATTATCCATGAATTTTGAATTTTATTTAATTAATTTCTTTGAGTGGGCAGCAAGTCACGAAACTGGGCTTTCTTCTAGGTCCAATGTGGGTCTCACACATAGCAGTTTTGAGTAATAATTAACTTGTTTAATGACTATTTAAGATTAATAAAATCTTTAATTATAAACATTGAAGACGCATATTTGTAAATAAAATGACATATTGGTTAGATAAATATTTCTAATAAAAGTGGCCGGTATCGCATTTAACTACACATAAGGGGAAAGGAAAAATTGTCAGATTTACCGGTGACCCGCCGTGCATGTGAGCTTACTTCTTCTCTTGACCTATTTAGTAGCCCAAGATCGCTTATTATTTAGATCCCTATAATCTCAAGCAGTGTGAAACTCTTCTTTTGACATACTCACACACATTATTTACAACAAAATATCCGTATATAATAAAACAAAAGTTAAAAGTTTGGAGCTACACAATCAATCCTCCTCTACTTCACTCTTCCATTTAATTTTCTATTTCTATGTCCAATCTTTACTGAAAGCTCCTCAAGATACTCCTTGTAGCTCTTTATAATATTTTGCACTCTGGTACTTCTCTACTTACCATATTTAACTTGTAGCATTTGATTGTTTGATCCTTCCCACTTTTCTACATATCCACTTGCTTCTTGAACAAAACTGAGACAAACAACCCTAGATACGCATAACATTTCAGTTGGATATGCTCAAAAATTAGATCCTTTTTGTTTCTATCATGCACAGATATCTTGAGATCCTTTGACAGAAAGAAAAAGGGGGAAGAAAAAGGAAAAGTCAACAATCATAAAACGAAAAAAGAAACACTATACTTTAGTTAGTACTCAGCTCCAATCCAAAAGGTTTAGCTTGTTCTTGAAGCATTCTTGATTGAGAATAGAAGTCTCATTTGTGCAATGTCTAGGCATATTAAGATTTTTCTTGTGGCAAAAGTGGATATTTGATTCTATAATTTTCAATAAAAGTTTAGTTTGATTTCTTAATTTTAAAAAATATATTTTCATTTGTTTAACTCTTGATACCATTAGTTTCAATTGAAGATTTTTGCAACTATGTACCATTATTATTTTGAAAAATTAAACTTACCATGTCAGGATTTATTTGTCAATATTTAAAATTTCAATATCAACATTTTTTTAATTAATGATAATTGAGTTTAAAGACTAATAATAGACCTTATAAAATTAAGATATCAAAATGAAACATTGTATGAAACTAAATTAAAGGATTAGAAATACGCTTTTAACTTTTTCCTAATATACTTTATCATTTGCAGTTAAATATGAGACTTAAAATTATATGATGAGATGTGAAATCTACTTTTAATAAGAGTAATAATGAAAAGTTGTGTGATTTATTGACAAATTTAGGGGGTTAATGCAATTTTGGTCCTTTAAATTTGCATGAATATTTGTTTTAGTTCATCTAGTTTCAAACTAGGGTTTTGTCATTTTAGTTTCTTAAAAGATAAAATGTTCTAGGTTTGTATTAAATTATAAAGACTAATTTTTTAGATGGAACAAAGCTTAAGGCATCAAAACTAAAATGAAAACAAATTTAAGGAACCAAAAATTATATTAACTTCAAATTTAATTAGTTAATTTCAACTCTTTCCTTTAATCTTAAAGTTAGCTAAACATATGCATCTTACATTTTAAATAGGAAGTGTATAATAATATATTTTGGCATTTTCATGCATAAATTTGATTCATTAATTTTTCGTTGTACAATGTCACATCTGAAGCGTTTTTCTGATTAATTACTTTACAAAATTACATTAATTCTTCAGTTACCTCTGAACCTTTTACATTTAACAATCAAAAGTATGCGTCTCTCTTTTTATAAACATTCTAATTGTGAGGATTAAGATCGAAGGGACATCATCATTACAGATAAAGTCATAGCTTCAGCTTTGCATCTCAAAAGCAGAATGAATATCGAAACTTTAAATAAATTATTTAATGTAAATAATTATAATCTATTGAAATTTGAGTTAAAAAATTGTTACTCGTACTATATAAAAATAATTACTGCGGATACATTTAAATTGCTGTTTACGTTTTTAAGTTTAAAATTTTAATTATATTTGTTAAGATATTTTTCGTGAATGTAATATCTAAAAAATATTTTAAACTTTAAAAATAGAATGAAAATAAAATATTCTTTTAAGAATGTAAGTTTCTATTTCGATAAATAGTAATAAATAATTAAAATTACAAAATTGCCGGCATCTTAATATAAACAAATAAAAAAAGATTGATCATTCATTCATTTGCTTTCCTTTCTCTGCAAGTAAACAAATATAAACAAATAAAATATAAACCGCTTGAAATAAAAGGAAAAGATATATAACTGCTCCGCCAAAATGTTAAATAATTCCGCTTTGATAAATCAGTTGAAATAAATGAAAGAGAAACACAAACTCAAAAAGGGGTATAAAAATATTTAAGATATAGATGAACATGATGTTGAAATGCCAACAGAAAGCTTTCATGTTAAAATATTATTTAGAATATAAGAATCTTAAAAAGATAACTATTGAACTAAAAATAAATATTTAATCAAACCAACCTACCTATGTATTTATATGCTGAGGTCAACCAAGCTCCGACATAACACTATTCTTTCCCTTTAAAAAAACAATGAATTATTGGACAAAGGTCATCCCTTTGTGTTACATATATTTATCATTAAGCCTGTCTAATTATGAATTATCATGATTAAATTCTGCATAATCCTAAGAGAATATTCATTTAAAAAGTGATTAGACACTTAGAACTTGACTTTTAAAATGCTCTTCAAAATAATAAAATTCTGCTTATCCAAAACCATTCTTTATTCTTTGATTCAGTGAGAAGTAACATATAGGAATTAAGAACCCAGTTCCTTCCACCACTTTTACTGCAACACTTTAGCAGGAACAACCACTAAAGCAACCAAGATCAAATCAAAGGTCTCATCATTTCAAGTGAAAATAATTTCAAGTTGGTTTAAGAACCCGAAAAATAAAAAAGGATGGGATATCTTTGTCTGTGCAGGCCACAGGTATGCCTCACACTTGAGGTTTAAGAGTAAGAGTTAAGAATCACTTGGACCCATCACACCTTGCTTTGAGAAAAACCCCACAACTATAACAACCATCATTAACCTCTTTTAATCTTTCGTTAGTATTTTATCTATAAATAGTATATTAGTCTGTTAATACATAATAAACGGGGTTGTTTGAATATAAATAATGGGAAACCCAGTGCTGATCTGATTATTATTGAGAGTAATGTATAATAAACAAGTGAAGCAATTCATTGGATTTGGTAAGAAGTTTTTGTTTTTTTCCTCTATATATAGTTTGATTTTACAAAGTTTTAAAGGGTCAATCACAGAAGTATCATTTTCAACAATGTGAGGCTTCCCATGCTGAAGAATTCATGAATATTGCTTGGAAAGCAAGAAGTATAAGAATCCATTATAATATGAAGCTCACATTCTACCAACCGGCTTGAGAATTTCCCGTATTTGGATTGACCCCATCTCTTTTTATAGCCCAAACTTCTATAAATCTCAATTCACTTTTAAGTCCTTCATTTATAACTCTAGATCTTCTTCTTGTCATTCTTTTTCTTCTTCTTCTTCCTCCTCCTCCTCATTATGTCCAAAGCAAATGTGAGAAAGTATGGTCTTGAGAGGAGCAAAAGTGTCAAAGAGACACAGAAACCAAGCCAGAGCTTTTTCCCCAAATATCTCAAGAAAGTGTATCCAATTGGGCTTCAGAAAAGCACTTCATCTCTATCCTTATCATCATTGTCTCTGTCTCTCTCGCAGAACTCAAATGACTCTTCTCTCACAGCAGATTCTCTGACACCATTAGACCAGAAGATCTCATTGGCTCTTCGTTTGATTTCGCCCCGTGAGAAAAAAGAGCCTCCTCCTGCAACTAAAACTGCACAGCAGCAGCAGCAACCAAGTCAACAGAACAATCCTGCAGAGCCTGGGGAACTGAGAAGGTGCAATTGGATCACAAAGAACAGTGGTATGTTCATTTTTCTCAGTTCCAATATATGTTAATCACTTTGGAAAGTTTGATGCTCTCTTCTTCAGCATTGAAGCTGCTAAGCTGTTCTCAGTGAGGTTCTGACCTTCAACTGAAAAGCTAAAGTAAAAATAGATTATACGGGTATATACGCAGAAGAGAACTTCAGATAAGGTTTAGTATAGGCGTATAATTGATACCTCTTATCATGAACATAACTAAATGATTAGCTTGATGCCCTTTTTAGGGAATGATGAAAGCTTTTACTGCATACTTTACATGAAATTTTAGTAACATCAATTACTGCTTCACCTACTTGACTTGTACTCTTGTAGCAATGAATCTGTTTGCTTTTAGTCATTTGCAGTCAGAGAAATTGTGAGTATGAAAATGACAGAGGTCTTGTGCAGATAAGGTATACATAGAATTCCATGACGAATGCTGGGGGGTTCCAGCTTATGATGACAAGTAAGTTTCTTTCAGAATTAAAATCATAACTAGTTATTATTTTCCATGCAATCACTGTGATGTGATCCCTCTTAACCTGTTGAATCATTAAACAGCAAATTGTTCGAGCTGCTTGCAATGTCTGGCTTGTTGATGGACTACAACTGGACAGAAATTCTGAAAAAGAAGGAAATTCTCAGGTATTCACGTTTCTTTTAGGATAATCTTCTATTTATATGCCAAATGTAGATTTAAAACAAAATATAATCTTCTATTTATATGATATTATGCTTCATACAGAGAAGTTTTCGCTGGATTTGATCCGCACACAGTTGCAAAAATGGAGGAGAAAGACATCATGGAGATAGAATCAAACAAAGCTCTTTCACTAGCAGAAAGCAGAGTAAGATGCATAGTAGACAATGCCAAATGCATAGTAAAGGCAAGTATTCAAACCAATAGTGCTAATCTTCTAAATGGTCAATAGAGAGAGAAGGAGGAACCGGTCCCACTTTGCTTATGTGGATCTTCCTTCAATTTCCTCAAACTAGTTAACTATAACTCTAGCGTCATTATGATCCTATTATCTTAGGCATCAGGAGATATTACATTGTACTCAAAAAATTCCCCCTCTGGTCCTATTTATAAGGTCTTAGTCCTACCTAGTAGTCCTTGATACAAGACGCTTTACAAAATTTAATGAAACATTTATGTTAAATCTTCTTACCTCTTTATAATGGCTGTTTCATCCCCTCTCCTTAATGAATTAAACCATTCAAAGAGTACTGCTATTCAAAAGTTGTTAAAATTTTTAATATTTAACCAACTTTAGCAGTTAATGAAGAATCTGATATGAATTTGATGTTCGTGATCAGATTGTGAGGGAATGTGGGTCTTTCAGTAATTACATATGGGGGCATGTAAACCACAAACCAGCCATTAACAGATACAAATACCCAAGGAATGTGCCGCTGAGATCACCAAAGGCAGAGGCCATAAGCAAGGACTTGGTCAAGAGAGGGTTTCGGTTAGTGGGCCCAGTTATAGTTCACTCCTTCATGCAAGCTGCAGGTTTGACCATTGACCACCTTGTGGATTGCTATAGGCACAGTGAGTGTGTAAGCCTAGCTGAAAGACCTTGGAGGCACATCTGACTTACGAATTCTAAGACATTCTTATCAACACTTGATTTATAGAGTTGGCGGATCAAATCACCAACTTGAATCTTCTGCAAGACTGCAACTAATGTACAGTCCAATAAGAAAAGAGATACAAATCCTGCTCAAGTAGGGCTTGAGTTTGAGTTAGTATGATTGTGTGAATGCAAAAAACGCCTTTGAGAAAATTGCCTCCAATTAGACTCGACAGTGCTCGAATATGACCTAGTCATATGGCCATATAAAAAAACAAAAGAGATACAAAGATTCATGGGATTCACTTAACATGCAGATCCAGAAGTTGAGTCTCAGATCATAGTGTTTTTAACTTGGTATTCTTTATAGATTGAGTATATCTAAATTTTTTTTAATATGATTCAGCTATAAATATTTCAATTGGATTTGATGAGAGAAAATTTTCAACTTTGTATTGTGGTTGAGCATGTAAATATATGTATAATTACAGCCAACAAATCCAGTTTTTTTTTTTTGTTGGAGGATTTTTGGGTGATGTTTCTTTATTATTCTTTTGTCCAATGTATAATGATAAAGTACCATTATTGCCACAATAAATAAAATGTGTTGCTCCGTATTTGGATGATTATTTAAACTCTTTAGTGTTTGAAGGTATGATAACACTTTATATGTTGGTTGGCAAAGCAAGGGCATTGAACCAATAAGAATGTAAAATAAAAGTTAAAAATTAAAAGTATAATTCTGTAATATGCTAAGTGCTGTTAGATGGAGTTTACGTATCATTACTTTGTTTTCCTTTTCCCAATTCGAAACCAAGATTTTTGTTTTCTTCTTTTATGTTTGAATGGCTGAGTATTAAATAATTTTAAGTTCAAATTTAGGGTAAAAATAAAGGCCTAAAAAATATTTACGGTGTCAGTAAAGAAAGAACCCAACGTGATGGCTACAAATCTGAACATATCATAATTAATGGATTTATAGTTTAATTTGGTGAGAGATGATTAGTTGCTTACAACTCCCTTCACTCTTAGTTAAACGTAAGTGTTAGTTAACTAATTTACATAAATTAATATAATTAAAGTTAGTTTTTTATTTAAAAAAAGTTGGCAAAAAAATTTATTAAAAAGATGTTTTGATTCTCTTAAAATCCTCATTTTAATCATTTATATTAGAAATTACCTAATTGATAATAATTTCTTTTTAATGTGTACAATAATAAGAATAGTTTAAAAAAAATTATAAATTTAAAATACAAACTAAGCTACTAGGTTTTGCATTTAGGAATAAAGCAACCCCTTCAACTCACTTCAACAATTATTTTGATATGTCATGTGTCATGGTGTCACTATCATCCAACTCAAACTTAGTACATGATTTGATTTCAAAAACCCATCATAACAAAATTAAAAATCTTTTTCTAATGAAATCAAATGTAAAAATTCACAACTATGCTGAATTGGGTTCCATGTCCCACACAACAAAGTATTTGCTAGGGTTAGATTCAAATTTAAGAACGATAAAAATAAAAAAAATCCATAATTATAAATATGAAAAGACTAATTTTTGCATTTATTATTCTTTTGAATAATGATGACTTCAGTCACAAGCCAACCGCCAAAATAATGGTTTGAAGCCTAGGATTCCTCTATTTATTAGTGAACAAAAGGTTTAGATAACTTTATTTTCTTTATTTCCAAATAAATATTATAGAAATAAAATAATCATCCACCAACCCATCCTGCTGGTCTTTATGATGAATTGCACTTTTTAATTATGGGCTTGGCTTGATGATCATGGTGAAAATGTTCATAGCCAACAAGAAAGGGGCTAAAAACCTGTCTCAAACTGCAAGCCAAAGATGCAACTCAAGTTAACCATGTCATCTGAAATAACTTTTTTACAGTTAAACATGTCTTTTATTTTTGGAAGAATTATTGTAAGATCCCAAAAAATGAATGTAATCATTAAAAGGTCTCATAATAACTTAGCAGTATGTAATAACAAGTTTCAGTATAGAAAATGACAATAAATTCATACTGCTCACTTATTATTGGGACCTTATAGTAATTTTCCTTTTATTTTTTTATACTATTAGTGATGTATGCATTCTACCTTTTACAATAAGGGAGGAACTCACAATTTTATGCTTAAAAAAAGCTTTAAAAGAAATGATTGATGTCATTGAGTTATAAGATTCCCCTACCTTTCGAATTTATATAATTTGTTTGTTTGTTTAAATTTTTTTATTAACAATATTTATATATTAATATTTATATTATTATAGTTATATTCGAAACACGCCCTTATGGATAATTCCCTGTCCTACTTTTCACAAAATTATAATAAGTTACATGGTCAACATAAATTCGTTGGGAGTAATTTGGTCGGCTTAATATCAAATCTCAAATTCATCTTACAACAAAGTAATTGGAGACTTATTTGATTTTATTCTCGGTTTTCTTAAGAATAATTAGTTTTGTGGAATATTTGTTTGGATGATCTATATTGAAAATTACACCTAAAAAACAGGGGGGAAAAAAAGATCCTTTGATAAAATTAATGCAGATATGTTGAATACCCACAATGCACAATGAATCAAAGATCGTTAGTGGCAGCTAAAGGCGGCGAATGGTAGTTATCGATTATCAGATGACAGATAGCGGTGGTTGATGAGAACTGGGTATGTTTGGCGGCGGTGGCAGCTGATGATAATCGCTGGCGGATGATAATGTTGGAAATGGCTGGCGAAAATTGGCAATTATGTGGCGCCTGAAACAATAAAAAAAAAAAATTTAAGGGCTTAATTTTATTTTAGACTAATATCATTTTTAGTCTTAGAAATTAAATTTTGTTTTAGTTTTGGCCTTTAAAATTTAACCTTATTTTAATTTTTTTAACTGCTGAAATATGAAATAAGTGGTTTTAGTTCTTAAAATTTAACTTCATTTTGATTTGCCTAAAGATTTAGTCCTTGAAACAATATTTTTAATCCCTAAAACAATGACTAAAACTAAAATGAGGATAAATTTTAGAAACTTAAACTATTAGTTTCAAATCTAAAAGTCAAATTTAAAGGACCAAAACTAAAAGATCAAATTTCAAGAATTAAAAATGATACTAATGATTTTATTTTTCTATGCATGGAAAACGATTAAAAAGTACCCATGAATTTATATTAAATGTTCACCAAGTATCATATATTTTTGTTGGGTTCAAATCTACCGATATCAGCTCAAAATGGGTGCAAAAATGACACAAATGTTAAAACATCCTAACGTCTATTACTTTTGATAGTAAGACCCGTGATATTTTTAATAGAAGTATCAAAGTCTCCCCAGTTAATAAAAAGGGGTTGATGGTAAAAAAATACTCACTAAATTATACTAAAAGTCCACAAAACATCATATATTTTTTAATGAAAGTACCAAAATATCCCCAGTGTCATTAGAGTGTATTATAGATTATTAATTATAATGCATTTTTATAATTAGAATAACTCATGCAAAAAAGGTTCAACTGGAATTGAATTAGTTTTCAATGATAAGTTGTTTTGCACCCCCAGTTTTTTGGAAGATAAGTTGTTTATATCAGTGGCATATAAGGTTGTATGTTTATCATCTACTCTATATTATTAAACTTAGAGGGTGTTTGGATGGAAACCAACTACGGTTTCAAAAGTGCTTTTACAGTTTACGAAGTAAATATGTGGAAGAGTTTGTCTCGTTTTACGTAAAAGTGTTTCTGAGAAGCACTTTTGAGGGTTGCCAAACACCCCTTTAATAGTCAACTTGAAATATCTTTTATGATTATACTCAATTTTTTGAGAAAATTTAAAGCCACTTTTGAGAATAGGGCCTATAATATTTTTAATGAAAGTACCAAAATACGCTTAATTAAGGAAAAAGAAAAAAAAAAAAGAAACCATTATCTCCTTCCACCCTTTCAAGAGTCTTCTCGATTCAGCTCCCTCCTAAGAAAAAAGCTCTCCCTCATACACAGTGGATTCAAATTCTTTATTTCCTCACAATCAGACCTTAAAATAAGGCTTTAGGGTTCATGATGGGAGAAGGATCATAACTTCGAAGCAACAGCAGCTCATAGCTTCAAGGCGAAATCTAAGATGACCAACGTAAAGGATCACAAAGCAAGGGATTTCTCAAGTAAAGATATTGTTGTTCATGAAGTTGTAAATGAATTGAAGAGGATTGTGTTCAATGTATGTGGGATGAGAGAGATTGAAGAGGGATAAAACACTGCCGTCAGGGTGTTTTAATGGTGGTGTCACTTTTACACACATTTTGAACTTGCATAAGTAGATTTGCACCAAATGAAAATATACAACTTTGGTGAACTTTTGTACCTGCATTTCTATCTTGAAGATGTGAAGCCTAGAATGCATTTTTGTCTACCTTGTACCCTATCTGTTGTTTTGGGTCGTACAAGCCCCCTCTATCGTTACTGGGCTTACTTAAAGTATTGGCCTGGGTAAGAATCGAGCATGTTTGTTTTATTTGTTGCTCTTAAGCAGGTATTTTTATTTAAGCGTTTTAAGCACTCTATGCGAATGTTCAAAGTGCGGGCATTATAGTAATTAGCAACTAATAAATGAAGCGTAAAGGTGCATCTATCACCCTGAAAAGGTACTAAAACTAATATTAGAGTGCTGGACGTGCAAAAAAAATTTAAAAATATCGGGATGCTGGATGCTCCTAAAAAATAAGATTAGAGTGTTGGATATATCTTTATTCATAAATGAGTAGTGATGCCAATCGGCCATAGTAGAGATGACATGTTTTGTATGATTATTTGGGAATCTTTGAACACACGAGCATGGATAATTGTTTACTTTCATTTATCAAATAAAGTTCAAGATCATAGTTGTTTAAATCTCAAAAAACAGGGTTGGTCATGGGAAATAGTCTGTGATTGTTAGTGGCAAATGAGGAAAAACAAAAACAAATGCAAGTTATTTTTATTTTTCCATAATGAAAAAAAAAAAGAAGAAGACAGAAATAATTCCGTGAACAACTAACTAAATAATTTTTTTATTCTTAAGAACAAAAAGTTGATAAAAAAAGTTGATAAAAAATATAATCAAAGAACCCATTCATTTTCCCATTCATTTGTGTGATACTTTGGGATTTTTGGCTCATGGAATATATGTTTGGACAAAGATTTAAGACCTTGAACCATGGGATAAAGCTGAAGATTAAGGTTATTAATTTAAGTCTCAAAATTAAAATTGTTTCTACACACTTTATTCTTCATATTCATGCTTTGCGGCATCATGATTCATGTGTTCTTAGTTTTACTAAAAGATTCCCATCTCAAAAAAGTCTTAGCATGCCAAGTTCGACAAACTTGGACCGTTCAAAACCTTTGACCTATTTTCAGCCACAAGCACATAGATTAAGAAACTCGCGAGTGTTAAACATGTGAACTTTGCCAGCAAAATGAGTAACAAATATGTCCTTTCTTGTGAGACATGATGGTGCATTTACAAAGACCCCACAAATGATTCACCCACATACTTCCTGGTATAGTTTTACCACAAGTACCACAAATAATCTCCAAATTTTAAAAAAAAAATCTCTTTTTCTACAGCTCTATTTCTTTTCACAAGTGGTTGATATTTGATATCACTAACTTATTTCAAATACTATTGAGCTTAAATGAAGAACAGTATCCTAATATACTGCTTTTTTTTTTTGGCTTTAAATACAAAGGCTATGGATTAAACCATCTGAAGAAGGAAGTTATATTCGTTTTGTTTCTTTTGAGTGGTGGGACTTACTTTATAAATCTTGTTTGACTCCATCGGAATTTCACCATTTATGTCTTCTTCTGTCTATCTTTATAAGGTGCCATATTGGATCTTAAAACACATGAAATTTCACTACAGTATTAAAGAATTAGAGTGAGATTATGTCTTGATAATAAATATCAAGATACCCTTAGTCCCTTTTTAACAACTTTAACAAACTGTGCATAAATGATTTGAGAACTTATAATAGCAAAATTTACACACACACACACACACATATATATATATATATGAAAATTTACAACTCCCAATTTACATAATCACATGTTTTGTTAAAATTCACAAGTGTTCATAAATAATTTTATAAGTACATATATACATTTTAACAACTAATAATAGTTTAACTTATAAGTGCAGAAATAGCAGTTTACAACTCCCAATTTACAAAATTTGCATTTTTTTGGTTACATAGAAATTTACAAATATTCATGAATAAATATACAAATACACATACGTATTTTAACAAGTCACAATAACAAAATTTATAAAAAATCAATAAGAAAGACGCAAATTTGAAGAGTATTTGGATACTTCCAAAAAAACACTTTTTAAAAGTATTCTTATGTAAGCGGAGACAACTCCTCTCATATATACTTATTTTGTATGTCTTAAAATTACTTTTAAAATTATAATTTGTTTTTCACCAAATCGAAACATAATTTTTTCTATTCTTTTAATTCAAAAAAAAATTTTTTGAGTTGAATTAAATTAAAATCACAGGGATCTTTAAATAAAGTTCTCCCTCAAATTATCTTGTGACATCTATTGACTGCCTACATTCACAAATAATCCCGCAGGTTAGTAGTAGGAATGGAATCTTCAAGGACCTGACCTGAACCTTAATTCTATGCCATGCTTAGAAGCAGAAACTTTCTCAGAGATCAGTACAGGTTCTTTTTCAGGGTTGTGCTGGGTGTCCGGTTGAACCAGAGTTATTGTTCTGTTCATAAGTATTTAGTATCAAAGACTTCACTATCACTTTGCCTTGGGAAGCTAATTAAGGGGACAACCAAACAAGCCTCAGCGTCACTCTTCTCTTGTCTTATTTATAGCTTGCACTCTCAACAAAAAAAAAAGCTTCGCATCCACATTAGGGGGACAATCATCACTGGCCACCTTCAAAAGCAACTTACAGTACAAATAATAATCAGTCATCATACCTACAGACAGATTGGCCTTCCACTTCATCCCATCTCACTTTTCACTTTCCCACAATGTTCGCCGGCTAGTATCTTTTTACATATTGATTCATGGAGTATTTAAATTATTAAGAACTAAGAATTTTTAAGTTATTTTATTATTAAAAAAAACCCTCGATGCCAAATCTGTTAGGTTTTAAGGTTTAAAAATTTGAATAATTTGATCTGATTAGTTTTAACATTGTGTGTCAAAATTAAGTTTAGCTTGACACTTCCAAGTTCTAAAGCTGGTAAAATACATAAGCCAGTAAGCATGCTGGCCATGGTCAAAAATATAATCATCATGGGCAGACAAACTAATGAGAAAAATACACGGACACCCACAAAAGCTAATATTGAACAATATCTTTGGTGAATCTGTTTGTGATTATCCTGCTTTCTAGCTTACTTGAATATAAAAAATGGTTGAAAGTGACATTCTACATCTCAATTGAGATCAAAACCAAGTGCTATGAGCTTGTGGTTTATCTTCAACTTCTCTCATAGTCAATTGATTCTATACCCATCTCACACCATCAATTTGACAGCAACTAATTACTTATTTTACCTAATGAAATTGATGGCCTCCCATATCATTAATTGACAGTTAAACTTTAAGAATAGAAATGAATTTCATATCATGCTTGGTTCCTTTCTCAAAATATTTTTATATACTTAATATCAACAAAAATATCAGGTGTAAATTATTTTATAATGTGACTTAACAACTCATCGATATCATCAACCCATTCAATGTGAAATAAATTGATAATATCGCTGACAGTGCAGGGTGAGAAAAACAGAATAAAGGAGAAGACAGGAAACAAAATACAGGATGATTTGTTGATTCCCCAACCCCACCACCACCGCCTAAAGAAGGCGGCTTTATTCTAGAAAACAAGTTTCATCAACATTTTTCTTAGATAAGATAAAATAAAAGTGACTATGATGCATCATTCTTTTGAATTTTTAGCCAAAGTTATCTCCAGCATCATCACTTGACCAACTGCATTGATATCTAATATTTACCCCCCCCCCCCCAAAAAAAAAAAAAGACCCACCGATTATGTCCTTGCTCATCATGAAGGAAAGAAAGACCAATGTTTCATAGAAACTATTACTTCCACTTCCACAGCTAAGTTTTAAACAAATACAACTCGATTGTTCTAAGTAACACAGGACTTTCATTTTGGCCAGTGATACTTCCCTACAATCCCAGAATCCCAGTGAAAACAGGAAGACTGATAATCAAAATCAAAACGAACGGGAACAAAGGCTTCTTTATATACAGGAGTTTCATTTCACGAAGGATAAAAATTATTTATCAAACATGTCCTAGGGAACTCGGCAAGCAAAAAAGAACATATCATATAAAAATACAACCTACAAGGCTTACTACTCAGCAAACGCCAAGAATATCTACATCACTACCCCGTGCTCTCTCCTCCAACTAAAGGCACTCATTCGAAACTTCCAACCCATACCTGTCCTAACAAATCCTTCATTCTGATATACCTATAAAGCTTTTATTCTCCATTCTATAGTCTTCTCTATCATATCATTACCGCATTGCTCTTAACTTCAAAACTGGCATGAAGTACCAAGCCTCTGTCTCTGCCTTTGACCTAAAGTTATTGATTTCCTTTCAGCAAATGCCGGGTGCAGAAGCTCCTGAAACTTCTCCAGAAACACATTCCACTCATCTTCAGTCATATCCGCCAGCTTCACAAAGCTTATGCTTCCAGGAAGCTGCTCATTGGCACTCTTATGACCAGATGTTGATGTATTACCAAAATAGCCAGTGTCAACTTTCCCTGCTGAAGATTTCTGGAGTTTCTGGTCCTTCTCATCTAACATGGTATTAAGTGACATTGAAATTTTAGAAATATTTGGGTTCCCCTCTTGAGGAGGTAGGGTGGGAAGCCCCACATCTTCTCCATCACTCTCCTCCTCTTCCTCCTCTATAGTCTCCTCTAGTTTTGAAAGCGGATTGCGGCCATGCCCATTAACAAGTCCAGGCTGAAAACATGCCCTGCTAAAAAAATCATCAACTGAGATCTTTGGATTGAAATCAGGCCCAACTTCATCACAGTCTAAATCAAACTGGAATTCCTCATCTCCCAGCTCAGTCATCCTTGGAGACAGCTCCTCTCTCTCAGCTAACATCTTCCTTGCCTCCAAACATATAACCTCAAGTTCACTAGGCTCCTCCTCCCCACGACGGAATTCCCTAGTCATCATCTCACCAATTTCAGCAAGACACAGACCAAAAGCAGCAGCCTCCTTGAGGAAAATGGTGCAAAGTTCCAAGACCCTCAAACAAGCTTCTCGAATCATGGGCAATTCCATTCGTAGCATCTCACAATCAACAGCAGGCTCAAGATTCTTAATGTACTCAAGCTCATCTTCAGAGAATGGAATTGAAGCTTGAGGCCAATGAATCCACTCAAAATAAGGGTCTTCCAAAGTTTCAGGCAGACAAAGCCCATGATCAATAGGAATTAGCTCCACCTGATCAAATTTTCCTACTCCCAGTTTCCTAACTAACAAATTTCCAGCATGCCTATCTGTGTTAAGAATCCTTATGTCTAATATCCCTATACGATGCACAGCTGCAACTGGGAAGCTAGATGTCCCATGATCACTGGCATCAAAATCATGAGGTATGAACTGCTGGAAAGATGCAATCTTGCTAACTAGCCTCTTCCTCTGGAAATTGTTCACGTTGACCCCATCATTAACATTAAAGATCGAGTGAGTAATCTTGACCAAGGCAGTTGGGGGAACATTTGCAAAATGTTCATAATCAAGAAGATAAGCTGCAACTTCCCTGAACCCTGTCTCACCAACTCGAACTGAACGCTTCAAACCAGGTTGTCCAAGAGCTTTGCCAACAAAGCCTTTCGGATTGTTTGGAGCCAAGGGCTCTTCATCCGTTGGTTTTACAATTGCGACACTGTCACCTCTGCTGTTCCTGAAATAGTATGCACCTCCAAGCCCACTATGAACAGGAAGAGGATCAATTCCCATTTTTATGGCCTTCATAATTTCCTTAGCCAGTTCTTTCATTCTGTCAAGACGACTTGATTGCCCTAAGATCTCAATAGGACCACTCTTATCCCTCTGTTGAATATCCCTTCCAGTGGGAGACAGACAAGGCGTGGATGAGCTTCTGTGCATAATATTCCGTGTAAGGAGAAGGGGAGAACCATTTCGAATTGCACTAAGATCATTCTTCAAAACAGTATCTCCAAATGTTAGTGAGCTCTCATCTGTCGGAACGTTAAGTGCAAGCTGTAACTTCCTCTTCACAGTATGGGCATTGTCACTTCGATCCAATTCCATGCCCAGCACACACCCGGTGTCAGTTTGCACAAAAACTTGTTTCCTTCCAGCAGGTTGCCTCCCTTGCACACTGCTGCTCCCATGGAATTCCCCAACAAGTGGACTTATCATGACTGACACAGCCATCTGGGTTTGAACAGGGCTGTCCAGTTTTCGAGACATCAACTTTGGCTGGGATCAGATGGCAGCCGAGATGGCAATGGAAGAGAGCTTCTTCCCTCTCCAGAAGTTGCCAAGCTCCAGAGCCAATGATTACCGTAAGAAACCAATTCCTTGTCCCGCAGCGATCATTAACCAAAAGTGAAGTACCCAATCTCAACACAGATCCACGAGAGAAAAGAGAAGGACTAAAACAGCAAGGGTTAACTGATACTCTGGCTACGTTAGCAGGCCATCACAACCAGATGGCAAAATCCAGATCTGCGTACACTTGGAGATTAAATCAAAATTCAAAGTCAAATACAAAAATTGGAAACAAATTACACAGAAAATCAATACATAGAACACCGAATGAGTTGAGCTGATTTGAGATGGAAGACATACAACAGTAAATGCCAGAAACAGATTACATAACTACAACCTAAACGAAGTCTTAATTCCGGAAAACTTGAAAACTGCAGCGGCTTGGTTTTGCATCTACTAGGTATCACTTAGTCTTTCCAAGAAAACTTACAATTCAAGTGTATCATCAATCATAATCATTAAAACAACCACAATCACCTCATCGAGTAGTTAATATTTCACAGAAAAAACTAGAAGTGAGAAATCGCGGAAACGAAACGCTTTCATAACTCGAAGAGTTCAGTTTGTTTGCTAAGAAAAAAGCCCCAATATATCATCACCTGAGAATCAGAAAAACCAAAACTAGTAAAAGCAAGCTAGACCCCAGCTGATTTGATACATTTTATCCATAAATGTATGGAAAAAATACCAGAGCAGGCATTAGCACGGTTCCCCTCCCGTAAAGAACAATGGTTCACGCAGACAATCCAAAATAAACTCCATCAGAAACACCAGAAGAGGAATTAGATGTAAATGTAAATACATCCTATCAAGGGATCAAACTGACCGCCAAGAATGTAAAAACTCACCCGCAATGCGAAATCTGAATCAAATAACAAATCCCAGAAGTGGCCTGCGGTTCCAGGAAATTGGAGGACGAACTGGAAGAGGGTTATGACGAAGGAACCCTATCCAAATCCGAGAACGACGAGGACGTTAGAAATACAGCAATGATCAAAGGGAAAGACAAGGAGGAGTCGACTCGGAAGGGGATTTCTTGTCCAAGCGACAATCCCAAATCCTTCTCCCAATCTTCTGTTCCTTTCTTGCTCTCTCTGTCTCTGTCCTCCCGCTCGCTCAGGCCTGCTCCCGAGGGAGGTTCTTTAACCCCAAACGCGTCAAGCCCGGTTAAGAAACTAACCACGGTTAACACTTAACCTCTCTCTCTTTCTATCTCTTTACTCCCTATGGCGATGCAATGGAAGAGTCTAGAACTGGCAAGGACGGCCGTCGGATCAGAGGACGATGAAAAGATCTGAGCCGTGAATGGGAGGGGGTGACGTGGACATACGGTATTGGGGGATGACGTGGCGGGTCTCCCCGGCTAAGCGGGGAGTATTCGGCGAATGAAGGATGGTTTCTCTCTCAATCCCGCTGCGACGTTCCCATCGTTTTGAATCTGTCAAGACTGAAATTCCGAATATGCCCTTATTGTTTGACTGGGGTCACTTTTTCTTGGCGAAGAAGACTGCAGTACCAGCGTGGATCCATGGTGGATGGTCAAGTGGGACAATCTTATTCTTAAATTGAAAAGATGTGTGCATACAATTCAAAAAAGAAAAAATAAATAAAAATAAAAATAAAATCACTTTTACATTTTCTGAGATAAAATATTCCTCAAATATTAATCTCATATAAAATAAAATAACTTAAATCACGTAATGGAGTCCTTTGTTAAACTTTTGTTATTTTTACGGTGAATTGATTGACTTTTTTTTTTATAAAAAGACAAAATGATATATATATATATATATGAAGCTTTAAAGTCGACAAAGTATTAAAGTAGAAGGAATTTAAGTTATGTCCTAAAAAATAAGAAAATATATTAAGAGAAATTTGCTTAAAAAGAAAAACATGAAAATCATAAGTAAGAGCCAGAATTTTTTACCATGTGACTGATGAAGGCTTTTTTACCAAAATACTATAAACAGTAAAGTTATTTATCAATATGTTGTATTTAAAATCATTCTTGGCAAGAACGACTTTCAAATTATACACAAATCGTTCACACAACGAACGATTTCTGAAATCTCTCATGCCACCAACGATTTCACTTTTTTCCTATTCACTCATCATGTTAGGGAATCTTTGCTAATTCTTGCGTGCGAGAATAAGAATCTCTGACACTATGACATTGCCAATTTTTCCTATTCACTTTTTTCCTATTCTTGTGAGGCTACAGCATCGTTTGTGGTTTTTTATATATTACATGTGAATTACTTCATCTCCTACTCTTTTCTTCTTCTTCTCTTACTTCATTTCTAAAATCCGCACTCTCTTCTTATTCACTTGTTTCATTTTCATTATTCTCTTGCTTTATTATTTTTTCACTCTTACTTCCAAACAAGACAAGTTTTTTTATTGTTGCTGTAAGTATGTTGTTTATCTTCTATTTTTTTCTAATTGAAAATGAAAATGCAAGGGAACAGGAACTTCTAATTATTACTCAAGCTTGTGACATATCACCGTCACCATCATCCATCTTCACCTCTGTCGAGCCTACATAACTTAAGTCTCATTACATGGCACCCTCATCATCATCCCCTTCCAACTCAGCCAATCCTTCTCAATTTCAACCATTCATGATTTTATTAGATAATCCTGTATTATTTTCAGCTAAATACAATGCTTCTACTTTTGAATATGGTGGACCATCAAATGAAGCATTTGTCACTCCTCAACAATCTATACATTTAAATAAATCACCTTGGTTTGATTTGAACACGCTAACTACACAAACAATGAGACACTTGAATCTCAAGAAATTGACATACAACAACAATGGCCACAACGTATGAGAAGGAGGCCAAGATATGGTACTAGAAGTCAGTATCAGTAACGTGGATAATTTTTTCTTTATAAACTTAATTTTTATTTATTATTTTTATAATAAAATATTTATTACTTTTTATTTTTAATTAATATACATCTTATACTCATTTCACAATTAGTTTTAATATCATTATGTAATTATCAACATTTTCCTCCCATTATTTAGTCATCATTTTGTCATTCAAATGATTGATAAATCATTATACTAATTATTTTAATCAGGAGAGAAGGTGAGAAGTCGTCCAGTAGCAGATGAAGTTTTGAAATCGTTCACCGGAAAAACGATTTTTGAAGTCATTCACCTGAAGAACGATTTTTGAAGTCGTTCACCTAAAGAACAATTTTCATTCACTTCACGCACATCGAGGATTGATTATGAAGAAGTCATTCACTAGAATGAGTTTAAAAATTGTTCACCTAAAGAATGATTTTAAACATAGCATATTGATAAATACTTTTAAAAGTGCAGCATATTAGTAAATAACTTTGCTGTTTGTAGTATTCTGGTAAAAAAAGCCGACTAATGAAGCTTCATGTTGACGAGCAACTATTATATTAAAGGAGATCTCCTGAAATAAACAAGAATTATAAATCCTAAAATAATTTTGTAGCTACATCCAACATTTTAAAATATTTTATGGTTTATCCTATAAAATGATAATTTTTCTTATTAAAATTAAAATAAAAATTTAAAATAAATAAATAAATAAAAACCAAGAGCCCATGGTAAATAAGCAGGTTGAGAACTAAAAAGATTACATCAGAATGAGCTTATATTTTGCTAACCCAACCTATCACTTTTTGGCAAATTAAGCTCACAGGTGCAACACATATTACAATCTTTATAGCTTAAAGTATTTTTTTCTTAGGAATAATATTAACCTTCTCATTGACTCTTAAAAAAAAACCATTAAATAAATAGGCATAAACACCCCTAAGACACCTTTTCATTATATTTTAGGATATTTAAAATATTAAACAAATTATAAAATATTTTAGAATACTAAAAACACTTGACAAAATACTTTAAAATGTTCGTGACCTTAACCCAATCCAATCCAAAAAGTTGTAAATAAATTAAGACTAACGTTATTTTTTAACTTTACAAGTCATAAACAATATAGATGGCATATATTATACTTCTTGCAAAGTGCTAGACCTACGAATGAATTTTTTTTTAAAAAAAAAAATCATCTGGATAAGCCTATCTGAATTTAATATAGCTTAAGTCACTATTAACATTAAAAATTATATTTATGATATTATGCCATCAATTTCAGCCACAAAATCTTTCTTCATTACTCTGATTTTACCTATTTGAGAGTATACAATGCAAATATATATATATATATATATATATGAGATTTGTATTAAATTTGTATTTAATGGTTGTAAATGCGAAAAACATATGCGCTGTATATATAATATATAATCTATCAGAACAATAATTTAATTTCTTAATTGCATTTAATGACAAGTTGGTCCTAATTCCCAGATCATCTAATATAATACTACCTCCGATCCTAATTATAAGACCTAGTTGACTTATTTAAAGAGATTAAGGAAGTAAGTTAAGTTAGTTATTTGTAATAAATAAGTGTTGTCATTCCTAAAATATCCTTGCTAATTAAATATATTGGCTAGAACTATCATCATTAGAAGAATTATCTTAGAAAAAAATACATAAATATGAGAGACAAAATAAATTGGAGTCTTATAATTAGGACCAAACAAAAAGTCAAACAGGGTCTTATAATAAGGACCGGAGGTAGTATATAGAGATAACGAGTGACAAAAGATTTCATGGTTTAATAAAGTGCTCCATAAAGCATTTGTTTAAGCTAATTTTTTTAATGTTTTCTATCTCTTTTAGCTTTTAACATTATTCTATAGCTGTCATCCATATTCTTCAGTTTATTTTCCTCTAAAATAATTCATCAATGGTTTTTTTAAACACTTAAAAAATGGGGTTTATTTGTTAACCCCCCTGAAAATCAGTGCTCCAACCATTAGTGAACATTCGAAGAGAGAGAGAAGGTAAATAAAAGTGACTAGCTCCCACCAAATTTATAAAATTAAACTTTTATTTTTATAAGTCCATATATATCATTTACAAGTTTATAAAATACTACTAGTATTTACAGGTCAAACTTTGTACCTAGCGTACTCACATTTATTGTAAATTAACTTTCAGTTATTAGTATTTTTGTCTCATCCTGTGATTTGTTTTAAGAAAAATTCAAAAAACAAAAGTATTTCTAAAATTTTAAAATTTTAAATTAGCAATGACTACAAAAATGCATTATCATTTATTTTTTAAATGTTGTTCATTGTTATAACAGTGTAATAAATAAGGCTGATTTGAAATTTTAACATTTAAAGGTACTTTTTTGAGATTCTCCCTTCATTTTAGGGGTTAGTATTTACCTTAAAATGGGCTCACTTTTAAAATTATTGGTTTTAAATTTGAATTATTAGATTTTATGCATGGATGATGACCAAGGCATTTGAACTTGTAGGTAGAGCAGGTAAAGTGAACTAGAGCCTAGACAAGTTATGCCTAAAAAGACTGTTTCATGACAACTTAACATTTAGTCAACCTCCCGTCCACAAAACAGGCAGGTGGGTGGGTTGGCCCTCCGACCTTCATCTTTAAAAATAAAAAAATTATAAACTTTTATGAACAAAATTCTCCTTATTTTTATATTTTCACATAATTATATAATTAAATTAATCTTAAAACTTGAAATATAAAATATAATACAATTTTAATAGTTATTTTATTAGTATAAAAATGGTAATGAGAAATCAAATTTAAAATTAAAGTCTCTAACAAAATACAAAGCTATATGTAAATTAAGTAAAAATGATAAAAAAAATTTAATTAAAATAAAAATAAAAATTATAATAAAATTTTAAAAATAAAAAGTGCGCTAACCCATTAGATTGGCAAGTAGGCTGAAAAAAACTGCATCCAAGTCCCCGTTTTTTTTTTTAACCCAACCCTTCAGCTTACAAACTCAACCTATATTACCCGCCATACTTGTAGGTGTAACCAAGTGCTTAGAAAACATTTTGGATGTTGTGGATCCACATTATTAAATCATGTTTGGATAAGAATAATGAAGATTTTCAGGAAAATGTGATTTCTTGTGAGTATGATGGATTATATATATATATATGGATTACGTCAAATGTGCCTAAACCTATTTATTGTGAATTGATGTATTGGTTTGAAATATCCACAGGCCTAACCATTTT